GGCCGAGGGTGGGAGACATCCGGCAGCAGAGACTGCGGTCGCGCCCGCAAACCGCAGCTGCCCCGGCAGGCGCAGCCAGAGGGTTGTGGTTTCCACTTATTGGTGACAGTGGTGACAGTGCAGGCACTGAGCACTGTGGGCATCCTTCCGATGGGCTCCTCGCTCCCCAGTCCCTCTCCTGCCACCTCAGCTGATAGCATGAGGACACGGTGTGTTGGCTTTGAAGACCCCCAGCCTAGTATGGGCTTACCTGGCTGGCAGTAAAGGTCACCTGGGATCTCCAGGGTGTCCCCAGCGTGAAGCTGCCACCACACAACTTTTGGTGGGTGCTGAGAGGCCACAAGCTCCCCACTTTGGGACTTTAATTTTTCCCCCTCCCTTTGTTGATGCTCAGATCAAAGTGTTCCCTGTGGAACTCGATCCCATTTTTGTCCATTGGAGCCAAAATCACTGCTGAGCACCCTGAGCTGGCAACAGCTCCCGCACACTCCTGCTTCCACAGCCAAGTGCCCGGGGGGTGACAGGCACCAACAGGTCTCCCTTCGGCTTCTCCCACCTCTGAGAGAATTAAATGCCAGAAAGAAGATGAAAAGTGGAGCATTACAGGGGCCTGCAGTGCTGAGGATGCTCAGAGCTGGGTTGGCGCCGGAGCATCCCTGTGCCGCTGGCGCTGGGGTACAGCGACGATCACACCTGGCTCACACTGTGGTTCTTCGCTGGATCCAGTGGATGTGGGGCTGGGTGTTTTGGGAAGGATGGTGCTCGGGATGTAGGTTGCCCCAGCAATGGTTGCTATGGAAAACACTTCAGTGGTAAAATTTCCAGCCCTATTCATGTGTCCATCATTGTCTTCTAGAGAGTCCCTGGTGTACGGTGAGCCAGGCACGGCTGGCTCTGCTCTGGCAGGATGCTGCTGTGGCTGCAGGGCCTGGCTGTGCTGGGCCTGGCTTTTCCTGGCTTTTAGCAGCTTCTCCCACTGGTTATAGTGCAAGAAGGTGTAGGAGAACCCCAAAGTGGGACGTGGGGGAGCATGGCAGATGTGCATGGGATGGGGGGAGGGCTGTGCCGTGCCGTATTAATTGGCTAATTAATGCCCTGTTGGCGCAGCCATGCTCCAGCCATGAGAGGAGATGTGTTTTGGTGAACCCATGCCAGGGCACAGCTCTGGGACAGTGGGAAATACTGAGAAAGGGGCTGGAACTGGGACGTTTCCTCTGGCTGGGGCTGCCTGCTCCTGCCCACAGCCCTGCCAGGTCCGTGCTTCGGAAAGCTGCTCCCCGCCTCATGGAGCAGCAATAGGATTACACGGGACTGAGTCTCCTAGCAATGAACGGAGAAATAAATCCTATAAGGCAGGACAGGATTTATTAGACTTCAATATTCTGGAAATAATGAGGACATTTCTCTTGGCTTGTAATATCACGGGACCCAACAGGATCACAACCAGGATTTATCCCTGTGCTTCTCCATAGAGCTGCGTCGGTTCTTAGCTGTGGGGAGAAGATGATGGGGAAGACTGCTTGCCTTTCCAGAGAGCAGGATGGCAGGGCACCCCCTCAGCTCCAGAAGAGCTGAGGCGGAGCGCAGACCTCAAACTGCCCCAACAGTAGCGGCTCTGTTTGTCTCTCCCCATTCATCCCCCGGCGAGGGCTGGCACTGATCCTCAGCCCCAGGCAGGCTCACCACTGGGAGAGGGAAGCTGTGCCGCTGCTGGTGGCTGAGCTTCAAACGCTGGTGCCAGCACCAACCACTGGTGCAAGGATACCTCACTCAGATGGGGTGGGAGACCCACAGGCTGCTCTGTTACTCCTCGTTAGCCTTGAACACACCACAAACAGAATCCCACTGTGCTGCCAGATGGGACATTGCTGTGAGGGAGAGGTGGGAAGAGGCTGAAAACCAACAGCTTGGAAAAGAGGATGTGGTTCTGCCAGCATCACCTCCCAAGCACTAGCCCTGCCCCTTGGGTAACTGCTGCCCTGGCTGTGGGGAGGTGCTCCCGGGGTCAGCTCCATGCTCTGCTCACTCCTCCAGCTGCCGTGCTTTGGCCCATGGCAGCTCGCTCCGTGAATCCCACCGCAGCCCTTGGGACAGCCTGTTGGGGGCCAGGGGATGCACTCGCAGGCAGCCAGAGTCCAACCTCCTCCCGTGTGGAGAGCCAGCATTTATTCCCTCATTCCTTTCGCTGAAGCAGCATTAAATGCACAACGTTAGCTCCCTGTCGCGATCCCCGTGGCCCTGAACAGCCTCCCCAAACCCCAGCAGCCCAGTACAGCCCAGCCTGTGGCTGTGGGTTGCACGCAGCCGGTTTTACTGTGGCTCCAACATGCGAACGCCGCGGCAGAAGCCTCGACCATCGGGGCACAGGGACACAATTGGAGCCTTGTTTGGGGCTCAGCTGCACAAGGGGCCTCTTCAGGCAGACAGGGAAGGGGGAGCTCCTCGGGTGAGGTGATGCTCTGGCCATGAGGGACTCCTTGTAGGGCCAAAACTGTCACAAGCAAATGCTCAGGGTGGGTCCTGACCCACAGAGGACATGTGAGCTTCCCAGAGAAGACAGCTCAAGGTGGGAACATCTTGAAAGAGGGACCCACATCTACTGGGAATGTTGCTCCTTTCAGAAAGTGCAGGGCTGACGGGGACACCGAGGGCTGGTGGGGACGCTGAGGGCTGATGGGTCCTGGGGCCACCCCCCTTCGTGGGAAGGCGCCTGGGCAATGGAAATAGCAAGCAGAGGGGGTTTGGCTTTTCTTTTTTTTTTCTTCTGAAGCAGCCAAGCTGTGTTTTCTGGAGACCTGTAAATCACTCCTCGTCTTCAGGAAAGAGAGGCGAGGAACACATGATCCAACCGAGCAAAAACGCGGGACACTTGGGAGCGTGCAGGAAGCCAGGAATCAGCCCAGGCTGGAGGCTGCCTCCTGGCTGTCCCGCCAAGCCTGTCCCAGCTTGCTGGGCAAGGAGCTGGCACTGCAGCCTGGCATCCTTGAGCCAAGCTGGGCATGCCACGCTGCTCTGGGCTGGGGAGCCTAGTGGAGAGGGGAGCTGAGGCTCTCGGCCACCACCACACTTTTCCAGCAGGTTGAGTTGCTTCCAAGATTTCAAAATTTTCCACGTGTGCTCAGTTGAGGGAAGGAAAAACCCTGGAGGAGAGAGGCCAGAGGGTTTGTGGAGAACAGAGCTGGGGCTGGCAGGCAGGATCCCATAAACTGGGGGTCATTGATTTTCCCAGCTCACCACTATGCCAGTGGAAGCTGTGCTGGCCACATCCCAGTGACACACCATTAGTATGCATCTGAATCCAAAGCCACCTCCAAGCCATCCAGAGCCTGATGTTGCTGCAGGGCTCACTCTAGATACAGCCTGAAGCTCTTTAAGGCTTTTAAGAGCAGGGCTGGGTTTGGTGCCTCTGGCCTTTGGGGTCACCAAAGGTTCCCCTGTTGCATCTCCATTCTGCTCTTGCTCATAATACAACGCATAGAATTGTTTTCCATTTCTTACCTACTTTTAACCCCAAGGTGTTGCTGAGCAGCTGAAGCAGAATGAGTCCTACAATGTAGCTGAGATTCCCACACCACAGCAAAGATTTCAGTTGGCAGCCCCCAGGAGACAGACACCACAGGGACTTGCCCTGTGCAGGGGTGACATGACCCTTGTCCACCCCCATCCAGCACGCAAAGCCCCAGGAGCACAGTCATGAAAGGACATAGGGCAGATCCCCAATATTCCCTCCTCTCCTCTCGGCACCAGTGGAGCAAAAGCCAAACTATTTTCCTGGCTGCTCAGCACGAACAGCAGGCCCAGCCCTCCCAGTGGCTGCCCCGGCATCCAGCATCTCACCATCGTCAGGGATCTGCAGCAAAACAAACCTTGGCTGCCTTGGCGTCCCTACTGGGAGGGACCCTGCAAGGACCGCAGGACCAGCCACCTCCCAGCCCAGCACACAAGAAGAAGGGGGGTTGGAGATGGTTTGGCACCACCATCCCAAGCAGGAGGGCAGCCTGGCTACTGCAGCAGCACCTGCCTTGCACTGCAGACCCCACAGAGGTCCAGCCAGGGCTGCTCGCTCCCACCCAGGACCTCCAAGCTGATATATCCCCAAAACAATGTCTTGGATAGGGACTCCAGTTGTTTTTGCAACCTAAACCAGAGCAGCAAGTGGCTTGGAAGTGTTTGGAGATGAAAACATGTCATCACCCTGTTGTTTTGTTTCTGTCCAATTTCAGGCTCATTTAAGTAGGTCCATTACAGCTGATTCTGTACAGAACAGGGTGCCAAAAGCTGCAGCTCCCCTGAGCACGTGGTGTTTTGTTCTCATCTATCCTGCAACATGGCCACAGAGCAAGGGCTGACTCAGCACTGGACATGTGAGCCCAAGGCTGAGACTGTGCTCAGAGCCGTAGGCAAGGGGCCAGTGGCAGTGGCAGCATCACTCACCCTGTTAGCAGGAAGGATGGGGCTCGTGCCACTTTCCCCTGGCACAGCACTGAGTCCCACTGAGTGGGCACAGAGAATCCCACAGGGAAACACTGCTAAGCACATCTACTCTGAGCATGTGCACAGGCCAAACATCGGGAACTGCCCAACTCCACCAGCGCCAGGCCAGCAGGGATGGCTGGGATGACAGTGCACTGCTGGCCTCCAGCTCCAGCCGCTTGCTCCACACCCAGGAGCCTCAGCCTGCCCTTCCAGACAGCTGCACTTGCTGAATGTCCCTGCGTGGCTATGCCTTGAGTGGGCTTCCTTACTCCTGCAGCACTGCTACAGGACTACACTGACCTTGTCACCCCCAGTTCTGGATTTAATACCACTGCCAGCCCCAGTACAATGGAGGGAAAGCGATCCAAGCACTTGCTCTGATCCCCAGGCTGCTATCAGGGCAAACACCAGGCACCTCCGAGCAGTGGTTTTATGACTGCAGTCAAGACACTCCTTACTGTATGAGACCCTTAATTTCTTTGTCCTATTCCTCCCACACAAACCACGCTGCCAGCATGCAAGACTGTTGGGATGGAATACTTTATTCAAGTGAACACTCAGATCCTGGCCCTTCCTGCCTGCTGCAGCTGCTCCCATCTTCTTGACAGCATGAACAAGGAAGGATTTCTTCATCAGCTTGCTTAAACCCCCCCAGCATCATCAGACCCCACAAACAAGTACAGACAGTTCAGCTTTGTCTGGACAGGAGCAGAGGGCGGAGGGGCAGGGAGTGCTGCGGGGCTGGCAGAGCCAGGAAAAGGGCTCCAGCCTACAGCTTGTGCACGCACAGCAGCCGCGAAACCTTCCCGCAGCTCTCACCACCAAACAGGGCAGCACCCTCCCAGCCTTGGCAGCTCCCCCTGCTACCAGAAGCACCTGGGGTTGGCAAAGGATGGGTGTCACCACCTCTTGGCCTTGAAAAGCTGCTGCCAGAATCATGCCGGTGTCTTCTGTCACCTGCTGGGCCATTTAACCTTCACAGTGCTCCCTGCCCACTGACGAATACCCTCCCCAAACTATTACAGTAAAAGAAAAAACCTGTACACTGAGACATACAGGCTGAGTCCTGGGTAGAGAACAGTCTCCATGCTTGGTGGTCCGTGGGTGGCCAGCAGTGCCCAGCCAGCCCTCGGGCACAGAAGGGAGCAGGATCCCCTGCGGCCACCTGCGGCACATCAGGGCTTCATCCTGCTGAGTCTGATGTCACGTTCGATTTCGAACTGCCTGTGATCCACACGCTCCAGGAACGCTTTCTTCTCAATGTACCTGCAGGGAGGCAGAGGCAGAGGCTGTAAGCAGTACCTGTGGCAGCCAGTGCGGCCCCAGCCTGGGGCAAAGCCCAACTGAAGAGGCAAGCAGGGAGGGAAGGCAACATCCACCTCCCTCCCTCTCTCTCCACTGCACTGAACATCCCCTATGGACACTGAAACTGCTCTGTGGCCTGCTGGCTGTCTCCTGAGGGACTTGCAAAGGTCTGGGGTGAGTGGTCCCCATAGGCTGGAGATCTAAACTGGCTGCTTCTGGCTCCAGCTCTTCTCCTACAGCTGCGAAATGTCCTTCACAGGCATCCTGAAGGGGATCAGAGCAGGCCCACACATCACCCAGCAAAGCATCTCAAACCCAACCACAGCAGCATGACCCACAATACAAGCTGACAGACCCACAATACAAGCTGGGAACAGGCACAGGGAGCATGATGAGTGTAAAGAGCATCACCCAGCAAGCCTGCAGCAGCTCAGGGATCCAGGCCAGGGGCTTCCCAGCCACAGACCAGCTTCTAACCACTGCTGAGTATTTACTGCTGCCCCTCAGCGTGGCACCTGAGTGCTGCGAGGAATAAGACACGCCTGTGCCTGGAAAAGCACCTTGCCACTCATTTATGGCACGCAGCTGAATTTCAATGTACTTCGCTGCAAACCCTTGCCACAGACAGCCTGGGGCTGTGCTAGTAATTAACCTACAGAGGGAGCGAAATTGCAATTCAAAACAGGAGCTGTAATTGAATCATCACTATTGTTTTGCATTTGTTCCAGGGTGGCAAACACTGGACTGTCATGACAAGGTCATTACGCTCGTGTGAGAGACGCATGCGGAGCCACTGCATTCGGCTCCTCTGTCGGTCACTGCTTTTCCTGCACCGCAGCTGGTGCCTGCTCACCAGAGCGACCCACTGCTTGAAAGCAAGACCAAAGGCCGCAGGGAAGATGAACATCACAGGCTCTGTGGGTTTTCTAGGCTGTTGGGTGGCTGGCAGCATGTGTGAAGGTGCCCAAGACCCAACTGCATGGGAAGGTTGAAGCCTTCTCCCCCTAGCACCAGTGCTCTCTCTCAGACAGAAGGACCTTTGGTGATGAGCAAGGTCAGGCTGGATAGGGATCTAAGCAACCTGATCTAGTTGAAGATACCCCCACTCACTGCAGAGGGTTGGATTAGATGGCCCTTACAGGCCCCTTCTGACCCAAACTGTTCTATGCTTCTGTGATTCTTTATGCTACAACGATCCAATGTGGGAGCTGAATGTGCTCCCAGCACCAGGCTGTCTTTGCCCTTGCTGCAAGGGACAGCCCTGACACTCCTGCCCACCCAGTCATCATTGGAAATGAATTAATCCGGATTCATGTCAGCGAGTGATTCCCCCAAGCAGATGAACGTCCCTGCTGCCACCCCATTCCCATCGCAGCTCCAGCCCATCTCGTGCTGACACAACTGGGTCAGCTCATCTCCGCCGGCTGCGAGGGGCAGGGACCAGCGCGGCGTAACGCAGACTATGGGCTGGCTGCAAGGAGGTGCTTTTCTGGCCCCTGCCCCTCGCTGTTGGAGCTGGGCTGGGTGCTGAGGCCCCCTCCCCACACTGATTCAGGAAAGGCAGGCAGGGGAGTGTCGCTTCCCTTCATCCCTGCAAGCAGGGAGGTGACCTGCTCCCGGGGCCGGGCTCAGAGAGGCCACGGGAAGGAAGCTGGGGGGTCATGCTGGCTATAACAGTGTGTCATATTGCTGGGCGTGTGGTTTTCCTCCCCCTCTGCTGCTAAACACCAACCATGACCACGGTCGGGAAGGCAAGGACAGGAGTTTCTGCTATTAATCTGGTAACACCCTGGGCAGCAACAGCCTGAGCTCTGAATCTGAAGCTCCTTCAGCCCCTCTGCAATACCCACCTCCCAACCCTAGCAAGAGGTCACTGCCTCCCTCCTCCTCCTCCTCTGTGACTGCTGTGCCTCTCCGGTGGGCAGGGCCTGGTTCCTGGGGGATGGATATGGATCATGAACCAGGAATGTGGTCTCACAGCCGCTGCCAGCAGCGCTGCATGGAGGGGGAACTGCGACGTCACCCCATGGCATTGTCCTTGGCCAGCCACAGCAAAGTGCCACAGGGGCCACAGCAGACCCTACAGGCACAACCTGCGCATACACCCGGGTTTGTGGGGCCTGGCCAGCTTGTGCTGCAGGCACAGATGCTGGAGGTGCTGACAGACATGAGCAGGGAAATTGCAGGGTCGGCACAAGCCCCTCTACTCTGAACCCTGTGCCTGAGCTGCAGCTCTGTCTCTGTTCTCAGCTGGCTCCATGCAGCTGCCAGCAAGGTGCTGCCAAACACAGTACAAAGTGCACGAGCAAGGCACAAACACCCGTCCTGCACTTGCCTAAACAACCTTTGCTACCTGAATCAATACCTTCCTGTAAATTATCAACCCGTGCGGAATCAGGGCAGCTGTGATCCACAGCAGAGGAAGGTAAATCCTTCGGGAGTGAGGCTCTCTGCTAATGAGGGCGGCTGCAAGCTGCTCTGGGGAGGGTCTCAGTGGTGCTGCCTGTCCCCTGCCAGTCACCATCAGTCACCCGGTGCAGGAGTGCACGGGGCTGGCTGCTCCCCCACGGGGCTGCCCTACAAAGGTGGCCCAATTAAGAGGCCACTGCAGATTTCCATTTATAAAGCACATCAGAGAGATCAACAGCAAAGGGGATAGGTGCCTCCACTCCTTACTCCAGTCCCTCCTGTCAAATCCAGGACAGGCCCTCAGGACCTGATACAGCCAGGCTGCACAAGCCCAGACCCTGCTCCAGAGGAAATGCAAATCACCAGCTGCGGCTGGTGATACGAGGGGTGGAAAATCAGAGGCAAGGGAGGACAAAGCCATGGGACAGCACATGTCCCCTCTGCCACAGGAATCCTGGGCCCAGGCTGTGGTTGGCAGATAACTGGCACTGGCAGAAGAAAGATGCCGCAGCCCCATTGCTCTGCTGACTGCCAGCGTTCTGGCTGAGCATGTGCTGCTGCCAGAGAAGGGCCAGGGAAGTCTGAGGCATGAGGAGGTCTGGGGCATGAGGAGCTCTGGGCTGTCAACAGCAACTTCTGCAAGGTTACCACAAAAATAAATTCAGCCTGCCTTCCCTCAGGAGCAAAAAGTGTCTCCTGCCTTCCTCAAGACAAGCATGGACCATCTCTGCAAGTGCACAGGCACATGTGGCTTTGAGCAAACATCCAGGAGTGGGCTGTGGCTTTCCTCGTCAGGCAGACATTTACAATCACACAGCAGGACATGTGGGGAGCAGAGGTTTCTAACGGCACCAGAGATTAAAGGCAGTGCCCCACACCCTCCTGCCTGGGTTGAAGGGTTAACAACAGCTCATTACAATTTTCATAGAGATGTGTAAATGATTGCCCACTGAAGGGGGAGCACGGCCGACATTATTAAAGGAGAAGAGGCGGCTGCAGAAGGGACAACAGGCTCCTGTGAAATGACCCGAGGCTGGCAGCAGTCGTCTGTGTGACCTGCCCTCCAGGCAGGCTGGCTGCTCTGTAAGGGTGCAGTACCCTTCACACCGTGGGCGTTCAGAGGTGGCCTGTGAACAGAAATGCAGTGGGCTGCACTTCCATCGGTGCTCCTCCCTTCCTTTACCTTTAAGGTGGAAGTAATTCCCAGTGAGCAGATACTCAGTTGATCCCCTCACATTACATGCCTGACTAGCACAAACATATTTGTAAGGACTGTCTAAAGTTATCATGGCATCATGTTCCTCATTTGTTTAATGACAAAAAAATGCTTGCCAAGAGCTCAGCAGATTTTCTATCCTGGGATGTGACAAGCAGCAAAACCCAAAGCTGTCCAAAATTAAAGATGCTCTTAAAATTGCTGCTCTGCTTTGCTCATCTTCAGTGTGCTGATCCCTTCTTCAGCCTTCAAGGGTCATTACGTGAGCGTGTTTGGAAAGGTTTGCCAGGCGTGAAGAGCAAACTGTCCTGCTTGTATGGGGTGGGAGAGGAAACAGCATTGGCCAAGAAAGGTCGACATACTATGTTTGGGCATACAAGAAATGGCACAAAACCCTGCTCTGCCACACCTGTATATGGTATGAATCATTCACCTCCTTGGATTTCAGGGATCTCAGAGGAACACCTGCCTCTCTGCAGCACTGCCACTGCATTGCTCTACTTGTTCAAGGGCAAGGGACCAGAAACAGGGGAGATCTGATGGAGAAGGGGTGTTGTGGAAGGATGCAGGACCAAACTGAAAATATCTATTTGATAGTTTGACAGTTATGAAATATCTTTTTGAAATACAAAATCCAGAACTGGACTGCAGAAGCTCTGAGTTTTTCCTGCAGAGTAAAAGAACAGCTTATAAGAAAATACACATTTTATGAGCTGCCCATTAAGCTGGTTACGTTTTCCCAGAGCTTAGTAAAGAACTTGTGTAGTGGAAATGCTGCTTCTGATCTCATTATCACTCCCTGCAGTGCATGTTATTAACTTTCTGTTTTATTTACAGCATTGCCATTTACTTTTATGATACTTCCATTAACTTCACTGGAGTGAACATTGCTTGATGCACACAACCAACGCCCAGCGCTGCCATAATCCTTAACGCACCTTGCCAGCTGTTCAGGGTTTGCACACATCTTTATGCAGGAGGAGGGAGGACAGATGCAGCTGGAATGAGTCATTTGAGGAACAGAATAAAAACCATACCTCCCAATTTAAAACAAAACAAGCAGGGCAAAGGCAATTGTGTTTCCTGATGGGAGTGCTGCATCAGACCGGCTCATGCTGCATCTGTGCCACTAGCAGGAGAGACGATAAAGCCAGACATTGGCTGTATTTGGAGAGCTCACAGGGTTGTTAGCAAAGAGTGACAGGTGTTTGCAGGCTTACCTGTCTCCCTGTGATACCTACAGCAGCTACTGGCTTTATGTATCCCTAGAAAAAATCCTAGAAGAAATCCTGTGGGTTTTCTGAACTCTGTAGCAAGCAATGGGCTTCCCATATGTATAGGAAGTGGTAGGAAATGCTGGAAAGATACCAGGCAAAGTCCCTCTTACCCGTCTTTCCCTCGGTTGTGGATTGCCAGCTCCTCCACAATCCCCTCCTCCTCCTTGAAGTTCTCCCAGTCCAGTTTAGATTTCTCCAGTGTGCTCATCTTCTGCTTTTTGGCACCGATCTTCCCCAAGAGGCTACTCATACCGCTTGGCCTCTTCACCCTGACAGAGATTAGGGAGCAAATGTTACTTAAATGCAGGGAGATGGCAATTAAAAGCAGAGCTGAGAAACATCACACGTGAAAGTGGTGGCCTCGATGGTGGTGAGCCACGGCCACTAACAGATGGCCACCAACCCCAGGCAGCCTGCAGGCGGCAAGGTCACGCTTCCTGCAGATCCTGCTCCGCCGTTCCCCTGGAAGCAGCAGAGTTCATTACACACATATCTCAAGTGCTCGCTTTTTGTGAAAGGGCTTTTTCATTTATCTTCTTAAGAGAACAGAGAGCTTTCAGGCCAAAAGAGATCATTAAATCATCTAGTTTGACCTCTTGTATACACCAGGCCAAGCCATTCCACTGATCACCTCTGTGCTAAGCCTGGTTCTTTGTCTTCAGTTAAAGTGTTGTTTTCTGGAAGGGATCCAGCCTCAGTGCGTCACCAGTGCTGACAACACATCTAGGAATTAACCATTTCATTGGTATTAATGCTTGATTTTGTCTAGCTTTAGGTTCTGGTTGCTGCTGCTTATTCTAAATCCAAGAGCACTCTGGTGCCCAGGCGAGTCTCATTAGTGACGCACTCATACACCATAATGAACTTACATCTGAATTGTTTTTTGTGCAAACAGGTAGAGCTCCTTACGCCTCTCACTGAAATGCATTTTGTCTCAGCCCACACGTCACTTCTAAGGTTTTGTCCCCCTGCTTACGTTTCAGTGTTCTTTGAAGATGAGGGCACCAAACCCGCCTGTAACCCCCACCCTTCTCCCGAGCTGCTCCTGTCCAAGGATTGCCTAAATCCTGTTAGTTACACCATCGTGTGACATGTCGAGTCCCAGTGCACACACACTGCGTTCCCACACCATCTCCCAGACCCCTGTTTGGCAGGAAGACCACTTTGGTTTTTCATCTCCTTGTTCTGAGAGGAGTGAAATCCCACCCATGTGGTGGGGCCCCTGAATCTCCCCTTTATGCTGGGAAACGCACACACAGGGACTCAGGTCAGCCGGGCTGCCCTCAGAGGAAGACAATTCTCAGGGATAGGAACCCGTAAAACAAACTCGTATTAACCCTTCTTAAACCCCCCCAGGAGAGGGGGGCAAACAGCATCCTATTGAACTCGGTGTTTACACACATTCCAGAGATAACTCCAGGTCTGCAGGCCCTTTGCCTCTGCAAGAAGCCAGAGAGGAAATGATTCTCGTTCCTGAGAGATGGAGGAATCTGGGGAGGGGGGCCCAAGGAAGGCAGCCAGGTGAGCATGGCAATTCTCTCCATCAGTGTTCTCCGAGCACAGTCCTGCCCAGGGGTAGTCATTCTTGGGAATGCATCCAAAGCTGTCCTTATCGGATCATTAGCATGGTTTATGCTTCTGTAATTTGCAAGCCTCTGAAGGAAAATAATTCTGCAGTTTATATGGAATTAAATCAAAGAAAATGACATCTCTGTAAGCCTCAACCAGAAGACTCAATTTAAGAATGGCTGGCCAGAGTCACTTGAGGTTGCAACTTCCTCATAGATACATTTGGGCTACAAATTCTGGATTAAGGGCATCGTGGCGAGCTCCAAAGCCACTGGACAAAGCTGCCTGCCCCTCACACTGCCCAGCCAGAGGAGCAGAAATGTCCTAGGACCCAACCCTCTTATTTTCTTCAGTGCCTGCCCATGCTGGAGCACAGGCAAACAGCCAGCACTTTTCACCCTGTGGGGACACAGAACTAGCTGGATGCTCTTTGATTCACCTTTATTCCTGAACATCTCATCAAGATGTCTACAGTCCTTCACATCATGGTCACACAATAAACTCTTGATCCCAGCTCACCCTCCAAGTCTCCCTGACTTTTCAAGACGTGATGGCTCCAGGTATCCTTATCTGCAGGCAGCAGGAAAGTGGTGCAAGGGGGTAAAATGGGCAAAGATGTTCCAACACAAGATAAAACGGGAGATATTTGGTTCCCAGGCTACCCAGGGCTACACACAAACCTTGCACAACCACCAAATCCAGTATCAGATGTGTGTTCAAGTTGCAAGGGAGTCTGAGAGGAGATATGATAAAGGGTATGGCCAAACCAAACAAAATATTGGGCAAGCATCCCCCATGGCATTCCCTGCTGTGCAGCTGCCTGGATGGCAAAGCCTGGTGCTTGTGCACAGCAGTTTCTTACACTGTACTGGGTGACCTTAAAGATGTCCTGAGACAGATCTAGAGAAGTGCTATGGTTGATCCGGCTTGCAAAGCTCCTCTGCCCCCAGCCTGGCAGGAAGCAGGTGTTAAAATTAACACAAGGTATTCAACAACACATTTCTCTGAATACATTTAACCTTTCAGACACACTTGTGCTTATGATTTTCCTACCTTTGAAGTGGTAAAAGCAGAGATGCAGAAGTGGAGGGTGTTATCCCTTGTCCCTAAATACTTATTGGGGCAAAACCCCCCAATGGTGTAAGAGCCATCTCACCTGTCCAAGGGCCACCCACAGCTCATCTGCATCCACTAACAGTTCCATGGGTGTGCACCCACAGCCACTGTTCACCTGAACCATGCAGTGGAGGACAGGCCTGACTCTGCAAAGGACACGGCATGCACCTGGAAAAACCCACTTGAAGCTGTTTTGGGATCTCTCCTGGGTGTTAGAGCAATACCTGCCCTGCAGAGTGACAAACAGGCTCACACATGCCGAGACTGATGCCTTTTCGGCTGAACCTCAGGCTGTTGGCTGCTGGTGGGGAAGAGCTGAGCTGGGACAGGGGCCAATCGGCCAAGCTGAGCTGATGAACACGTCCCTGCATGAAACACAGACTGGGACATGCTGACAGGCCACTGCTATCCCCAAACCACAGTGGAAAACATACAGGAGGGAAGGGAACCAAAGGCAAGATTGTTTATGGCCAGAGGTGGAAGAAGAGGTAGTACTGGCTTCATAGCAGGGAGCAGGGGCTGCAAGCTAGATGAGACTTGCTCATCATGCAGCTTTTCTCCCATGGCAATTCCTGACATAAATTAACAATGTCTACATGCACACATCCACCTGTAATGGTGCTCAAGGCCCCTATATCCCCTCTTGGACATGAATATCTCTTAAGAGTTATAATTCACTCCATGTTTGAAGTTACAGAATCATGGACCTCCATGAAGGGTGCCCACAAGTCAACTCAAAAGTCAACAATTCCTTCAAGGCAAAGGAACCTGATAAAAAAAGACAGGCTATGGTGCACCCTTGTGTTGATGACTACTCCAAAAATACTCTGAATATCCAGTGTCAGCCTCATGCTGGAAACAGGTTCTGGACTGGATGACGTGGCTTTGCTCCGGTCTGGACAACTCTGTGCTGCTGCAGCAGGACCAAGCCTGGACTGGCCAGGCACAGGCTGAAGGACATGTTCAAGTCTGCTGCTGAGTCTTCCCTCCATGCTGAGCCTTTCATCACCCTGAATAAATCCAACAGCAAACCTGGGGGTGGGAATTCCTATGCTTGTGCCAAAATGAAGTAAATGAGAGACATTAAAGTCCAATTAAAAACTTGCCTGGCCTTAAATGCCTCATCTGTTTAAAAAGCAAGTAAAGGGGCCTGATTAATTGCATTCAGTGCCAACAAGACGAATTATTACCCTTTTTGTACTCATTAAGGGTATCTGCTGTGGCATCTTTAATCACTAAGGCATTTAAAAGAGAGAAAGTAATTTGCTAAGACATAATGGATCCCGGGGATGACGATGAGGACAATCGCCTATTTAGGACACAAAGACACGCTCTGAATTTTCACAATTAAAAAGCACGGCCAAAGTCAGCTCCTGAACCAGCAAGAAAAAAGTGCTGGGGAGCTCTGCCTTGGTGGGGGGGATTCCCCTGCACGATCTAATGTCAGCAGGACAAGGACTGTGCCTGTGCATCATCTGGCATGGTTGTACACAGCGACAAGCAGCAAGCCACGGGCTCCCTTGCTGTCCTACTGTAGGCGAACTTGCTCTCTATCCCTGTCCTTAACAAAGAGGCTTCCTCCCATCTCGGTACAATCCTGCAGCCTGACCAGGACCTCGGAGAATTGCTGCTATGTCACTGATAAATTGTCACAGCCACAAGTAATCCCTGATGTTTTGTAACATGAAGGTCAGCACTGTCTGGGAAATGCATGCCTGCTCCAAAGAGGCACATTTCACCACAAACTTTATAAAATAATCTTCCAGCAATTGGGAAACATGGCTACATAGGTCTTGTAGTGCATCCTACCAGTCAAAGCAAGATGAGTTCCTCACCCACCCACCCAGAGATGGGTGCTCTGAAGGCCTCCTGACACCAACCCCACAAACACCAGAGGTTTCAGTACTTCATCAGCCTTTCACTTAGGTAAGTCTTCCCCAATGACTGAATTTCCTTGCTTGATATCTTCTTCCTAGTAGCAACTAAGAACAGATCATTCCCTCACTTTTTGCAGCAGTCTTTTATGTCTTTGAAAGCTCTTCATATTGCTCCCCCGCTTAGCTTGCTCTGTCCTAGACTAAACAATCCCTGGTCCTTTCAAGCTTTTCTCATTCCTCATGGTTTCCAGCCTTCTGACCACTCTCACTGCTCTCCCTGGACTCTCTGCTATTGGCCCAGATCACCCATAAACACAGCATCCAAAACAGGAATAGCTGCAGTGACGGGTTTACCGGCACCGGGAGCTGGAGGAATGCTTCAGATGCCTTGTGAAGCATGCAACTCCTTACACGGCCTCCTATGACGTGTGCCTTTCTCATAGCCGTGTGACAGCATTGACTCATGCTGAACCTGTGATTCACTGAGCTATCTGTCTGCTCTGCTGCTGCCAAGCTGTTTCCTTCCTCCATCCGTGCAGAAGATTGCTGCTACCCAAAGGCACACTTTGCACTGTGCTGCTCCTCCTGCTTGCCCTCACGTTTCCCTCAATACAGCAAACCTCAGATGTCTTTGCAAATCAGCCTCTCCTATCCACAACAGCCATGCTGCACCTGTTGAAGAGGAACACTGGGAAAGTACCTCGCAT